CAACAAAAAAAAGTTAGAAGGCAGATTTCATATTGAATTTTCAATAATAGTATACTAAACTAATTATGAAGGTATATATTACATATCACATTTTAGAGTATAATAATTTTATTACAGATCAAAATCATGTATTAATATTTCGACATTATACTATTGAGTTCTATAAAGTATATACTATGTAGATGTATGACTGCATATGGATGGCTCACAGTTTTGTTTATAGTAGCACACAAAGTGTAAGGAATAAAAATCTAATATAGTGCTGAACAAAATCATACAAGAACATTAGGCAATTTTACAAATCAAATTTATTTAGTGTATCATGGAATTATAACTTATTAAATAAACATTATTTCACAAACTTAAAAGAGACACTTATGACAAACTACAATATGCTTCCTCACAACTTCATTTATTTTTATGAATACACTATTTATGAGTTCTTCACAGAGAGACTTGAAGCATAAATACAGCAATGTTGCATGAACCTGTCTTTCTTCATTGGACAATAAGGCATTTCATGTTCAACTTTTTGTCCTCTCTCTTTTTAATTTGTTGGTGGGTTTAAAATGACAGTAAAACTTAGTTCTTTGATCCCGGTGAACATGCTGGAAAGTCATGAAAACTTAATTTTACTGGAGGGCAAAAAACAACTTTCAACTGATGTAAATTAGAGGTTAATGATATTCAAACAAAATGATTTCTGTGTAGGTTTCTGTCTAGTATTAATCCCTGATTCACATCATCAGTTGAAAGTTATTTTTTGCCCTCCTGTAAAATTAAGTTTTCATGACTTATCAGCTTATTCACCAGGGTCAAAGAGTTATTGTCATATGCATGAGCATATCAAATAGTTGTTAAGATAACAATATCTGTCAAAGTACGCAAGGGCTTGTTTGTGAGAACTTATTGAACAAGGAACAATGCAATAATTCTTGTTTCCTTTCTGAAGGCTGACAAGAACTGAGCATGGATGCAGAGATAAGTCCTTTAGGATGGCATTGCTACAGTAAATTGTGTGTGTTCAAAACTGTTAATACTACTGAAATAAATGCCGAATTTTTAGGCCTTTTCTAACAGCATGTTGAAGACACAGAAAAAAGGCAACTTGCTTATTGCTACAAATAATACAGGCTCAAGGGGTGAGGCATGATGCATGTAAATCAGTTGCATCAAATCCTCATCCAGAATCACCCGTGTACTGTGCATTCTTTTATTTTACCCTTTTTGAATTCTGGACATGTAAAATTAAAAATACACAGTGTATTAGGTAAAGGAAAAATACAAATTAAAACACTATAGACACTTAGGACAACCTTTATTTCAATGTATACTGGTCTTTTTACATTAGAGGATGGTATAAACAAATTATTCAGAAGCACTTATTTCACTTAGTCTTACCAGACCATATATAAATGTTATATATAATGGGGAAAAACAAGATGATTTAAGACAAAATTATTTTTAATGGATATTTATCTTAAACAAAATATCACCCTTTCGTTTTGGCTTGCCAACCCTGGTCCCCTGAGACACCCAAAATAATCATTCATTTTATTTCCATGGAGGAAGTTACAAAAAAAATTTAAATCTATAACAACACACACTATTGCCCTCAGCACTGATTATCATCATAGCTTTTTTAGGAATTATTCCATGTGAGAAAAACACAACCACAATTTACTAATTAATACCTGGGTATACACTTATCAGTGTATCATGGAGTATTCCCAAAAATCCACAACATAAAGGAACCTGGATATTCAATTACATACATGCTTATGGTTATCAACTTTGAACTGTGGTTAGCCCAAGCATGGGCATATCAGAAAAGGAGAGCCCGTTCAGCTTTGCTGTTAGGCTATCCTTCCTGACAACGAGGTAAACATCCATGTGGTCGTGTTTGCAGCAGTAGGGCACAAAGTGCATTCAGAACATGGGCAAATATTGTAAAGTTTTGTTACCCACCATGGTGAGCAGTCTAAATGGGTAACGATAAAATCGTGCATCCTTTTGAACATTCTTTTATAGCTATACCAGTCAGTTATTTTCTTATAAATTAAAAATAGACAATACTTTCAATACAACCCTCCAGATAAACATTTCCTCCACATGCTTGCTTTAGAGAAAACAATAACAATCACTTGAATAAACAGATCACATGTTTGCATTTGCCCTGAGCGAGACGGTTTGTCAAATAAAAGTAACAAAATTGATATCTTGACAAATACTTCAAGAGTGAGGAGGAGAGGAACAACAAATATTTATCCATAGCCAACCCAATGTAAGGAAAAATCGGCAAGAAGATTTCCATGACCAGCAAACATTTAAAAAATTAATGTTAAACAACTAACACCCCGTCTGTTAATGCTGCAACAAACAGTTCCTTTACATTTATACAGTTTATATGACAGCTCTACACATGGAGCAACGGAGTCTTGCATGGTTGATACTCTTAATATCTGTCAGAATACTAACATAGCTTGAAACACACATCAGATATCTACAGTTACAATATACCCTTAACTAACATTGATGAACAAATATTTCATCATGACAATAGACTAATGAGTGTATACAAGTATCAGTCCCCATCAATAGCATACAGAAGTCTGTAGTCTCGCTGGATACAGCTGGCTGTCAGTGAACACATCTCCCATGAGCAAATGTCCGTCTGCTGGTTACGTGGGCCCCAGCACTAGCCCTGCCCACCCGGCCACCACAGCGATTTGCCACACCCCTCAAGATTACTTCTGGAAGTAATTAATAATCTAAAAATAAATAAAAACATTAATTGACTGAAGATTTCATTTTGACTAAGGGCATGTTTATGAATACTGCAGGCAGTTCCTGGTTTTATTTTATAAAAGAGAAACTTCAAGCTCAAGAAGTATCAATCCTCCCCAAAGGAATACAACTTAAACCTTGGCAAATGCAACAGAGGACATTTTGGCACATACAACACGTACGTAGAACAACTTAAGTCTTTGTGATGTGCAGCGTTCAAAGGAACAGAAAGCATGAGATTCTGCAGGATGTAACTGTTTTGGCTTTGTCTAACCTTGCACCTGAGACCACTAACACAAAAAATAAAATAAACAACCTCGAGGGGCAAAATTTTCTAACGGTAACAGAGTAACAACATAACAGATTTCTTATCTCGTGCAAGGAACTTACATAAAGACAACTTACACTAGAACAGCAGTTAGAACCCACCACACCTCAGCACCAAACAACAGCATTTGTAACCATTCTACCTAAACCTACCAAGCGCATGAGAAGCCGCACAACCCATGCGGCAGAGTTACACAAGTGGAAAACTTGAGAATTTAAATACTGAGTCCCTTGAAATAAACTGAATATACATTTCTAAACACACACAGACAGGTGCTACCCCATCCACCCCAACCTGCCTATTCTACACAGACAAGTGTGCTGCAAGCAACATCCTGAAAGACAAGTGTTGGCTACACAATAAACAGACAAATATGACTTTAACTTTGTGAATACTTAACACAGGAATCATGCACAACAAATTGAAGCTTATTTGCTCTCCAACAAAAACATTTAAACTCTAAGTAGAACATGAAACACTTGCTGTTAAATACTGGCTACATTTAATATTTTCAAGCTAAAAATTCAGTACATTTTAATGAGCTACGCAACTAAAAGACCGCTTTACGTTTGCCAGCAGCCCATGGCCCATACCCGCCCCCTCTGGCACAGCGGGCATGTGGAATGCAAACATATACACACACAAAAAGGATTTCATGCACCTGCAAAGTGATGCACTTTATGCTCATAAAATAGTGTGTGTATATGAGTGTTTCAGTTAGAAGTTAGCACCATTCAACCTGATATTGCAAATTTGGGTGGCTGCATGTGTAGCCTGGGGCATGGCTGCTGGCAGCGCATTGCTGCGCAGAGCGCGGGAACACGCGGGTGGCTCCAAACACACACGCCCCTTCCACACGCACAGCTATACTACAGCCACGAGGCACACACCGCACATACTCTGAGTTATTGCAACAGTTGGCTGCCAATTTCTCTAAAAATAAAGAACATTTTGTACTTGGCAGGAAAGCTGTGGTGAGGTCTTTCAAAATAAATAAAGATGTACATCTTCAGGACAACGGCATCAATTTCACACCAATTAATAAAGAATTCAATAATTTGTTTAAAAGAATGCTTATTTTGTCAGGTACTAGACTGATCACTCTTCGTCATGCAGAACTATGTTAAGTCATTCCATCTGCAACTCTGGCCAGCAATATCTAAAACTTGCTGAGCAGGAAAGCGACACATTGGTGCTTTGGAATATCACATTGGAAAGATTTTTTTTTATGCTGAATCGGAGAACGCCGAGCCGCGGACGCAACTCTCCTCTTCGTGTAAGCGTATAGGCGCAGGGTCGGCTGATATGCCCTGGCACGGTCGGCGAGTGCAGGATATGTAGACGAGGAAATTTTGTTTCTGAGATCTTCTGTTTGGATTCTTTTTTTTAAAGTACAACACACTGGGAGCTTGTATGTCTTAAGGCCACTCAATATTGTTTCAATCTGCATTATTGTTAGCAATGACTGCGGATGGTGGCGGGTGGGAGCGCGTCATGCTTGCGCGTCGCCTGTCCAGTCATCCATAAGGCACAAGTTCTACTGCAGTCGGCCACTCACTAGCCCGCTCCCCTGTCCGCTGGCAAGGAACGGTTCAGATATCACTTAAGACTCTTCTCGACACAACTGTGTCCCACTTGCACGCACAAATATTGTTCAGTCAGTGGCAGAAGCATACTTTGGGAAGTCTATAAACACCAAATCTTGATAAGCGCCTTCAGTCACAAGTCACTGTGATAATCAGAGAAAATATTGCCTAAGGCAACACTTATTTCGTCTATTTGTGCAATGCCCAAGACTGCTGCGTTGGCCCCGCCCGTGCAGACTATGAGCTATTGTTAGAAGTCCCCCCCTCCCCCAAGCACCCTCTCAATTGCACTTACATTCATTCATTCATTTATACTTGTTATTATATTTTAGAGAAATTTTGACCAAGGGAAGCAACGCGGACACCGCTAGCACGTCCCCACCACGCAGAGATCTGAACAGACAAGGCAACAGCTACGACTGCTGCCAAATAATAAGTTAAGCCGGTAAGTCACGAAATCAAGTCTAGGTACACAGATGATTGCACAGGCCAGAGCGCGCCCGTCTGCGTCCCTCCCGCCAAGTTCTTTGGTATCGCACGTGGACAGACGGGGCGAGAACGTTGAGCAACGGGCGCAAGCGGGCACTGCCTGCTGCAAGCGCCCTGCCCCTCAGGGCCCCGACCGCATGCCTCCACTCCTACGAAGTCTACTTTCACAATTTGTAGTGGATATATATTATTATTATAATTATTTTTATTATTATTATTATTATTGTTACTAGTTAATTATATAAATTTTACAGAATTTATATACATCCTGACTTAGTTTTTCACATTTAAGTAAAAAAGCTATCAAACCATGCAAGATCCCAATATTTTTATGTTGGCAATAACACTTAAAATTACTATGAATCCCACACCATTATTATTATTATTATTATTATTATTAATCTTATTATTATTATTCAATTGAACATGTGACAATAAATATAGGAATAAAATGAGAGATACGCAATGACTAACAACGGGTTGCACATTCAGTTAGACACACTGGAAAGGTCTGCAGAAGAATGAGTATCAAGGCAAATGTTCACCCGCTGCACCGAGTCCAGAAAGCACTGATGCCACCCTGGACCACACGGCGGAGATGCAAAGCCAATGAGGAAAAGAGAACGAATCACTACAACTACGGCAGGCCTGCACCCACCCTTTTCTGGCAACCAAGCAAAGAAAAACACTGACATCCACCCAGTTTTTGTCTAAAGTGGGATTGCTAAACCAACAATTACAATTCTACAGTTGTATCACAAAAGTGGAGCAAACTGACGCTGCCGAACAAGCCGGCAACTAAACAAAAGGGCTGATGAAGAACATGTTTGGAAGTTCCTTAATCCCTGCTCACTCACGCGCACACAAAAAAGCCAACATCTTACTGCTAATATATATTATATACTATATTGGTTGTATAATGAATATTAAAGATCCTTTTTTTTCAAGTATATGAACTTACATTACTCATCAGTAAATTGTAGTTACAGCAATATTATATACTCTTAAACATCACTGGAAGAAATATCGTACCCATGTAAGGCTGGCCAACCCAGATATGCTGGCATACTAACAACCTCATAGAGACTATGCCTTGCATTACTTTATTTTATTCACTTTTGGAGCAAATGAGGATTTGGTCAATATTGTATTTATCTTTTTTCATTTTTTCAAACACACTTAAATATGGAGTTCATTTTTAGAAAACAAATGCCTAGCCACTAAGCAAATAGAGAGTCTTGCAGTATCAGCTACATGTTTAAAAATCATTTGGCAGACTTGTAATAATAACTGTTGAACTAACCCTTTGGTAACCATCTGGCTGCCTCCAGGTCACAAGATATCTTACTCTCATCACCTAAAAATCACAATTTTGTCATAACTTCTTATAACCTCTACAGTATTTAAATGACTGATATGGCTCAGATTTCACATAGGGTTTGAAATGTCATTTGAGAACATTTAAATGCTTCTTCAAGCCTCCTTTCTCATGGACTTTAAAAAATTCAGTTACATTACTATTAAAAAAGAAAAACAAAGTGGCACTTCTTTTATCATAAAATACTGGAAAAGTAGGTGAAAATACTAATTATTAAGTATTATTTCATGTCTTCATGTATTCATGTATTCATAAAAATTGCTTTGCTACATTACCCAGTGGACACCCTTGTGCAAGACTACTAAAGCTGATTCGGTGTCTCGGCTACCGTGTCAGCCACGGCCACACGAGCCCATGCCCTCCTAACAGGACAACGTTTGGTCACAGAGGTACGTTGCCACAGCAACCACACACACACATTCATACGTTCACTCACTCGCCTACATTTAACAAACATACACCATCCCCAATTCCCAACATCAACTCGCACCATCCTTCCAAGTTACATGCATGCACACACGTCAAAAGCAAAAAAGGCAAGGATGGACTGGATTCTTATTCCAGGAAAACCCCTCCCCTGCGCACCTCTCTACTCCACTCCGGAGCCAGAGTGAGGTTTTGCTGTCGAGAGACAAAAACAAAGTTTGACTTGAACACTTGTACTCTTTTTTCCTTAAAAAACTTATACTATTAGATATAATATATTGTAATATGTACTTCTTAATATATAGCTCTCTATATCTGTTACTTTATCTTCAAAAACAGCCAGTAAAGTCGTGTACGTATCACGGGTCCATGCGCCACGCCTCACGCACAACACAAACTAAACCTTACAAATAATAAAAAAACACCTCCTTAGATCCTATAGTAATGTATGTACTTCACAAAAATTGACAAGTTTGCACAGGTTTCAACAGATTATTGTATCACATTCAGTTAAGGATGCAGCAATTGTGTGCAGCTGCACTGGGCTACACTTGTCCCGGGAGAATGCACTTTGTTTTTTTTTATTTTCTTTTTTTGGGGTTTTTAAAAATTGTTTTATGCATTTGTAGAATTCACCTTATTTACTGATAACATGGTTTATGAACTTATTATCTACTGACTTAAGCTTATTTCTTACAGCTAGGTAAAACACTTTATCATTTGGTTCTAGATTGATTGGCAGAGAAAAAATACAGTTAAGCACAGCAACATACACCCATTCACCAAAACACCTTTCCTCTCCAAACACACTCTACACATAAGAGTTATTGTTGTTTGTTGTTAGACTTATACACTACACTTGGCATTTATAAATCTTTCTTATTAACTAGATACTACCAGTGGAACCATTAAAATTGCTATCAACCCTGCTTCAAAGTTGCATTCATGATAATACTAATAAAAACCTTTGATCCTAGAGTGAGACCTTGAGAGCAGGGGCCGACAGCACTCTTTTGCACCATTGAGTCACTTCTCTACCAGAGAGCTTTTATCCGGAAAGAAAATATCAAGTTCACTGCTCAATTACATTTTGCATTAATAATATTATCTCTACATTACATGAAAGGAAAAGCCACTCGAAAGTCACAGCACAGTTGGAGAGACTCAGAGTTCTACAGCCAGGGCGCACGGTTTGGTTGACAATTCCCAACCTCCCCGAGTCCCCTCTGCCAATGAGATGGTACCTGGCAACTTGCCACTTCTCATGCCTCTCTGCGCGCACTAAGCGACGCATTGGAAGTGGTGATTGATACAATAGATATCCCTAAGTTAATCACACGTACAGATTTGAACACCTTGATTGCAAAAGGGAGCAGCTTGTGTCATTGAATACTTAAATGTGCAGTCTGATTGTAGCTAACAAATGAAAATCATAAAAATGCTTTTCCTTCCTAACATCCACCCAATACATTATACTAATACAGCACAGACAGGAGAATATAGTGAACAGGAGGATACCACATGTGTTGATGTCTAGGAAGCTGAGATCACAGGTAGGGAGACGGCCTCTCCACAAGGAGAGTGCTGGGGTTTCTGGCGTCAGACTCACCCACGCCGGCGCCCAAGCATGCGCCGCCGCATCACATGGACTCTCCACCCAGCAGATCACCGGGCAGGAATGAGTTGAGCGAGGAGGGTGTGGCCCGGTGCTGGTCAGCCCCCGAGGCATCCAGGGGCCCACCACCACCCCACAGAGAGCCACCACTGGGGCCAGCTGGCCACAGCTGCGAACCAGCGCCAGGGGCACCCCATGTGTCAGCACCAGGGCCTGAATTTTTACTCTGTGGCCCAGCAGCAGAGCCTGTGGGTTGCCCCCCTCCAGCCCCCTGGGAGCCTCGCAGAGCCCACGACCCGCCGCCACCGCCACCGCTGCCCTGTGGTGCACCTGCCTGCTGTTGGGCACCGTGGTTAAGATGCTGCAGGAGAGCATGGACATCACTGTCCCCAGGCGACTCAGCAAAAATGGTGGTATTGCCCAAAACACAATTGTTTAATGCACCTTGGGCCTGAAAAAGATTTTAATCTTACTATTGCTGCAGCTCCAAACGGAAAAACGTTTTACTATTTAAAACATTCTTGGGCACAGTAACCATTTTAAAGTATTCTGGTCAAGTGTTTGAAGAGAAATAATATGAAATTCATAATTGGAAAGCAAACCTTTCAATATATCAAAACACACAAAGTAAGAAAATACTATTTTGAAAGTACAACAAAAGAAGTAAATAATAGCAAAGCAAAACCTCTGAATTCTTGAGTCTCAAACACAGTTAATTAATTAAAATGGTTATTTATTGAAGTTTGTTTTTTGTCAACAGAAGAAAGTAGAGAATCAACTGCAAACGTTTAATTTAGAGCAATATTTGTTTCTTCACATTAACACGTACATATTTTTAACGAGGTATTCTTTTTTCACATTTCCATATTGGTACTAATTAAATTTAATAAATCATTTAGAATTTCTTTATAACTGTCAGGAAATATGAATACATACATATTTAACATCTGACTTCAAGAAATTGTAATATATTTTTATAGATAGAGCACGTCTAGAAATGTGTTTTGCAATATGTTCAAGATGAAGACGCAAAAATTTAATTCATATCAGACAAGAATAGTTGACAAAAAAAATACCGGTGTTGTACAATGAAAGAATCACACTTTCATACTATGAATATTACTGAATATAAAATATAACTCCACTGAGATCATTAATTTTTACTGCAGTAGTCCATTCATTAAAAATAAATGTAAATCAGTTATTTACAAGTATTTTACAAAATTTTCCTAACCCTTAAGAGTAATTATTGTCAAGCACACATTAAGTTAACGAAGAATTAATATCATAAAAGAACTTTTTATTCCCCATATTCTACAAAAAGGGTGTTAGATATGGAAATGCTTTTTGTAAAAATTGATCACTTGAATATTCTTTATCTTCAATATTCCCTCTTCCTAAAAGCATCAGCATTACTATTTAAAATAAAAAATATAAAAATAAAATAAATATAAACCGAAAAGTTTCTAAAGAAACATAAACAATAAATAATTATTACTTGCAACACCCAACACCCCTCTTCCCACTCACTAATCACAGATCAAAACCACCTACGAAACAAATATAAATTATTGTTTTTTGTACATTTGATTGTGGTGGCACAACCAACAATAAAGTGAATTACCTTATTGGCCTCCTCCCGAGTTGAGTACTTGGCAAGGGCTATGCCATGGTTCAGGTACAAGTGGAAGTTCTGCAGAGGACCATGTTGCACACACAGGGTCTTCAAGGTGGACCCATCAATCTGTGGGGTTAGGTTGCGCAAGAGCAACCAAGCGGAGCTCTGGGGAGCCCAACCACTTGAAGCACTGCCCCATCCCCCAGAGCCTCCTCCGCCCGCACGTGCACCACCCCAGCCATTGCTGCTGGAGCCGCCTCCTCCAACGCCTACCCCTTTGCTCCCCAAGCCTGGAGGTGGGCCGCGAGCTTTGCCCATTGGGGCACCCCACAACTCGCTGGTAACTGTTGTAGGTGGTGGGGCATCGCCCCACACTTTACCACCACTCAATTTGCCAAGGCCACCACTGTAAATTTAAAACACAGTCATGTTGTATTTAACAGGAATAGCTTCTAAATTTCTCAATTTTCCAATAAACAAACTATTTTTAGTAGATTATAAAACATTTTCTGCTCTAAACTTGCAACTTACATAACGTTCAAATATCAACATATATATTAAAATTGAATTTTATTAATGAAATACGTTATTTCCAATCTGTGCCCATTGATATTTCCAATATTATTTATATTTTTGCAACTTTTATGCTTACTAAGACCTTATCTCATTATCAATGTCTTTTAAAAACTTAAAAATAAAAAAAAAAATTTACAAATTACTCCTCCTAGCAAGTTTACAACCTTTCAATACCTTGGGCATATTTAGAAGAATATATTCTAAAGGGAATACAATACCTACCTATTTTGAGGTGCTGGTGTAAAGCTCCATGTGGAATTTGACAAAGACAGCGGAGGCAGTGGTGGTTCGGAAACGCTAACTGTTGGCGAAGTTTTCGAGCCTCCTCCACCAGAGAATATTTCGGAGTCTTTGATCGAGGCCAGTGAAAGAGGAGAGCGAACCACAGATCCTGGAGTGATACTAGGATCGTCTTCAATACTCTTCATCTGAGTGCCCTGCAATGAATGCGATTTGCTACAAACATCCAACGAGAATTGTTTCCTACTAATTCCCAGATATTAATGTACATAACTCCCTCCTCACCCAGAATATAATAAAGTTAGGATAGTCATTAAAAATACTGACACACATGAAGTATTAAACAATTCTAATTTTTTTTATTATTATTGTTATTAAATGTAGATTGCTTCAAAAATGTGAGTAAAGCTGATACGGAAACTAAAAACATTTTTGATAAAGGATTTCTTAATAATACATCAGCAATTTCTAACATTTGTACTAATAAATACAGTTAATCATTTTACAACTTAACAGTACATGGGCCAACATACAAAATATAGTGTCTGTATTGTCATTCTTAATAATATTCAGTCATTTCCCAATGTTCAAATTATTTAGAAGAGAATAATTTTATGCAGATGTCCATTTCATTAACACTTTCTAAACTTTTAAATATGATTTGGCCGTTCAATTCAATAATGCTACCCCATTTCTGCCATTATTATTAATATTTATAACAGAATTCCTGTGAATTTAATGCAAGAGGCAGAAATGCACAAAATAATCTCAACAAAATAAATGCATCTGCCAATCTGTTTTAATTATCTAACCCTATGACACACGATTTAGTTGTGGTAGCCACACTGTTAAGTAGAGGAGTTTCAGCTTTCAGCATAATGCTGAAAGCGACCTTGGAGTCGCTCATCTCTCAAGATGTAGACCATAGGGGAATTCCCTACCTCCCAACACACTGATCTTGGAAAGGTGTAGAGACTTCTATTTTGCGTGTTTTCCCTGCCTCAAGTTGAAAATCTTTGGCCAGAGATGCATTGCTCCAGATCGTGCAAAGGTATCAGAAATTATTGTACTTTTGGCTGTGATACATTGTGCATTAAAAGAGTCAGTATGCAGTCCAACTGCAGCCCCTAGGCAGTGAAGTAGTGTGTATTTTTATGTGTTTTACAACCAGTTTAACAATAATGAGGGGAAAAAAGAAAAAAACTAACCTTAGATGAAAAGGATAAATTTTCAGAAGAAAGAGAAATTCAGAAGTTGAAAGTGAAGAAAGTTTAATAATAATTTATTGGTGATTTCTTCCATAAATACATTATGGCAATGAAGACTGTTTAGTATTAATTGGCAACTTTTTCCACACAAAAACGTGATTTGTAAATATATTTTAATAATCATCATAAAATTATATACAGCAATTTTTAGTTTACTTTAACTAACTAATTCAGGACAAAAATATCAATATCACAAGTGCAATAAAATGGATAAAACAGAAACCTCACTAAAACAGACATTTTTTTGGCCCCAAATCGATTCCAGCTTAGATTTTACTGTTTTTTCTATCATTACAGTATTATCGAAATACTGAGTTTTGAATTTAAACAAGGACTGTCCTTACTTTCAGTTTTGCATTTTTCTTATTTATACATTTTTGAATCCCCTGAAAAATGTTTAAATGAAGTTTCGCTGTACTTAGAATCTTTTGAATGTGTTCTGGTTTATTATTTACTGCCATAAAAATCCTTCTTTTGTCTCCCTAAGCAATACATGTCAGATCAGTCTTAAAATCTTAAATTTTACTATTTATAATTTGGCTGGTGGGTGACACAAGGGAAATCCTTACATTATTCCAGTTTGTATTTTAACAGTGGGATAGTCTCCTAATATATAACAAAATTTGCATTGTCCTAGACAAGAAAACTTGAAATTTAAAAATGAAATTAATTCATTCCTGATTCCAAATGAGAATGCTTTTGTTTGGAGATAAACAAAAACAGCCTGACCCTTAAATTTTAATAAAGATAATAAACTAATTTATTTTCATAGGAGTATCATCAGTAGAGTCCAGAAGTATGGCCGAAAAACATTTTGTTTTTTGTTACGATTTAAAGACTTAACATTAGGAAATTCTTAACTTAATAAACACCTGAACTTCCGGACTCATCACTTATCAGGTAAAATAAGATGTTGAATTCTTATTAATAATTTGGGGAAAGAGTAAAATATAGGAAAGAAGAATTTTTGTTACATAGAGAGAGACAGAGAGAGAGAGAGAGAGAGAGAGAGACAGACAGAGAGAGTGAGAGAGACAGACAGAGAGTGAGAGAGACAGAGAGAGAGCGAGAGACAGAGACAGACAGACAGTGAGAGAGAGACAGAGAGTGAGAGAGAGAGTGAGAGAGAGACAGAGAGAAAGAAACAAAGAGAGAGAAAAGACAAAGAGAGAAAGAAAGAGAGAAAGAGAGAGAGGGGAAAAAAAATGGGTGGAAAATTTACTTACTTTCCAGGGCTTCCCAGGTTCGAACTCTGGTACAAGATCAGTAAAAGCAGCAGCATTGGCAGCTGCAGAGGCCTGAGATGTTACAGTCGGCCATGGGTCCTTGTTATCTTGAGCTCCTGCATCACTACTACCAGAGTCAGGCCAGCCCGAATCAGATGGGCGGCCCACCGATGACCACGTACTGCCAAGAGAAAAACTGTGTGCCGTTAGCTCTCAGTTGCTTTCTTCGCTAGAATCTAGCATGCATTTCGATGTTCAAAATACAAATCTTCTAGGATATGATGTACACAAATAAACTACTTCATTCTAAAGTTTTAAAAAAAGCATGGCAAGTAACAATTGATAAGCAACACAAAGAAAAAAGATGTGAAGAAGAAAAAAAAATCCCACAAATATATTTCACCACTGTTTAGTAACATATTTTCCTCTTTCCCACAATTTGCTTTCTAAACCGCCACAAACTAGTTTCAAGCACTCAGATTTCATGCACTAATCTATAAAATCAATTCTACTCAAATATATTTTCCAAAATTTGGACAGAAGAAGAAACAGAATTAATTAAGCCAAAGTACGATCCCAGAATCTTAAGAGTAGGCTGCCTGAATGGTAACAAGAATCATCTCTGACTTACCTATCACTCTGACCCAATAATGGGTTCATGTTGGGAGAAGAGTGACTTTGAGCCAATGTTGGTTTTGTTGTGGTACCAGGAGCACGTGAGAATTCATTGCTTGTACCATCACCATCTTTATCAAGGGCAGGTAATTTCCACTGGTTGAGTCGGGACTGCTGGCTCTGAAATGAGCCCTAAACCACAGGAGAAACAGTAATATAACTTTATTTTCACATTGCAGATTAGCAAGAAGTTTTCATACACAACAAGATAAACCAAAATTATCATTTAACTTTAATTGCTCTCACTAAAATTTACAATTGAGTTAAATGAAAGGCAGATTAACCTGTGTTAAAGAGAATCTTTTGAAATATTGCTACAACAGGAGGACAAAATACTTAAACAAAAGAACACCATTCAAATATCACATCTTGTAAACCTCAAATAGAGGAGCAATTCTGCATTATTACGCTTCAAATACTCTTTTATTTGGTGAAATTTGTCAAACAAAATATTAATGTTTAATAATTAATTAAATAAATGTTAATTTCACAAATTTACATTTTCTGCAATTCAGTCTCGAAATCCAGAGGTTTTCCAAATTTTGAACCTTCAAAATTAAGCAAGAACAATTTTGGTTATGAAAATAAAATTAATAGAATTTATAATTAGTTGAAGATTTGGAAATGGCTAAACATTAAACAGATGGATATTTACTATGTACTTTTGCATACAATAAACAATACTCAAGAAACATATCATATTTCTTCAATGCATCCCTAATAACTTTAGCGCAACAATAAACATAATGTTTTCATTCTAATGTAAAAAATGTGCAAAATAATTTTCGAAAATAAAAGACAGGCTTGTTCTTTGTAAAAACAATTAGATTAGAAGTCTTAAAGAATTTACTAGAGCAATTACTTATTTCTTACCTGTTCCTTCGAGAGTGCCAGGTCACTGAAGTTAGCATTGAGAGTTTGCAGGGGATCATGCTGCTTGAAAAAGTCTTGTGGTCCAGTAGGATGAGGTGGTCCCTGCGGGCCGCCACCTGGGCCTCCCAAATGTTGTTGCTGCTGCTGCTGTTGCTGTTTCACGTATATTGCTTGTTGCGATGCTATTTGATTCTGAAGATTTGAGATCTGCTGCTTGGTTTTGGTAATTTGTACAGAAATGTGGAGAACAGCGCTTGAGGATCCACCTTTGTGTGGTTGCATTTGCACCACTGTTTGCTGTTGCAGCAACTGTTGCAAAACTTTGATTTGTTGCAGTAATTGATTCAAGAGCAACAGTGTTTGTGGTGCCAATGGCTGGTTCAGGATCTAAAAACACAAAGTTAGTTCCACCTAATTTAATATCAAATAGTTTATGTCAATAAATTATAATACTCTACAAGAAAAAGTATTTATAGACATATTTATACACTGACATTTTACAATGTTGATGATATTGCAACAGAATATTATATTATCAATTGTTATTAATGTTCATTTATAACCACTCACTCTTCAAAAAATGGATATAAATCTCACCATGCATGTCAATTTATTCCTGAGAAACAAATTGATTAAGACTGCATATAATAACAAAACTTATTTGAAGGAGGAGTCAAGTAATGCTGAACATAAAACGATTTTCATATTCCCTGCTCAGTCATGTGAGTGATGTTTTCAGGGTAGCTGCTAATTTCGTGAAATAAATTTCCCCAATTTTCCAGAACACTTTTTTACTGATAACTGCAGAGTATTTCACACTTTTTTTAAAAAAATTTTATTGACTTCAGAGCAATGGAATTCCCTGATTTTTCCCGGTTTTCCACGTTTTCCAGAAAGTGGCCACCCTGTTTTTTGTCCTCTTTCATGCTAAACCAATTGACGGGTGGTGTTGGTGATTAATACATTAAAACAAATAACATTTATTTCACAAACAATGGCTAACTTGTTCTTGAGTCTAACTTGTCTCCTAATATTCTTGTCATTCTACCAATTTGAGAATGTTCACATTATACCAATGTATTTATGTGAAATTAGCTAGAATGCAAGAAAAGTATAGTTTACACTTTTATGAGACATTTAAAAAACATAATTCTGTGAATAAAATTCCTCCTTTGAGATTTTTTCATGAGATTAATCAATCTTTGAAATTCAATATTTAGAGCCTATCTATTTTCATTAGTTTGAAGATTTAATTTACATGCATTCATGTCCTCATTTGCGTTTCAATGAGATTTTTATCAATTCATACAATTTTCTTTTTAGTGACTATAATGAAGCAGAATAAATCACTTGTGAAAACCATTCATAATCTTCAACTTCATGCACTGTACTGATAGTTTGAGGCCTCATTAGGTTGCAGTCCCATCCATATGGATAACAGAGGAATACTTATCATAAAGCAATGCAGTCTTTAGTGAGGCACAACCAACTGAGAACTTGTGAAAAAAAAATTGTCTACTGGCCTGAACATAACCAACTACAATATCAATCAAATGCCAATTGCAGAAATAAGTGTCTAGAAAAATGTGAATTATTCACAAAATTGGTATCATAAGTAGATACTCAAAAATTAAAAAATCAATTTAAAAATATTTCTTTTTACTTTTCCCCCAATCTCTCTCATTATATTTAAATTATTTCACAATGTAACAGTAACAAATACTATGATTAGTTGATAGTATCTTAAGTAGAATAAAATGATAAATGGGGCTTGTTTTTGTTACATTATTAAAATAAAAGTTCAATCATGATAAATCCTCTATTACTTAAGAAAATCATACACAGAAACATGCAGCTACCATTTCTAAAAATAATGGAAATTATTGAATTAAGAATGTTTAGGTTTAAAACAAGAGCCTATTTCCAAGTTCAAGTTCCACATGTTTTTTAAGTCTTTCAAGTCCAAAGCTTTCAACAACTGACCTGGTGGTTCAGGTAGCCAGCTTGCACAGCCATCTGGATCTGCTGCACCAGCATTCGAAGCTGAGCTGTGCTGGGCTGGGAAGAGGGAGCGCGTGGAGCCTGCCCAAAGGGCCCTCCACCACCCCCTCCACCTCCACTGCCTGGCACAGGCCCTGGGCCACCTTGCTGCGCTGACAGCATTTTCTGGACCACCGCAGGACTCAAGCTATTCACTCCCAGCGCGGCAGGGTTGCTGCCCACTCCTCCACTGCCACTGCCTCCCAAGTTGTTGAGTAAGCTGGGGCCACCTCCCACACCGCCACCACCCTATAAAAATGACAATCATGACATCATATTCTGTTTGTAATTACTCAATATGTTTTATTTCACATATCCATGAAAATAGATAGAAATTTGTTGAAGTTAATAAGCAAGTAAATACACAATTCTGAAATTAAAATTGAGACAAAATGATCAACCAACCGGAGGAGCAAATGACATAGGTGGTTGTTGCTGCACCGGGTTGTACCGTTGAAATCCAGGTCCTGCACCACCATGACCGAGATCAAAAGGTGCCCCTGCTGAATGTTCTGCCTCCTGACGACGCCACGCATCTGCCACACTCAAGCGAGCATTCAACTGTTCATGTGCATCTTCAAAGTTCATATTGCTGGATCGTAAAGCATTCTCTACATCCTCCTTCTGAAAGTAAACAATTAATTTAGAATGTAAAACTGAATAGAATTATTAAGGGTTTCTTCATATAAATATACCAAACCATACGAACCTTAAAACCCATTTCAGCTAATATACGGAACTGCTTACTAGCCCAAACAATATCTTTTGTCAGTGGTTTCTGACCCTGAGGGAAGAAAGACTGCTCATTTTTCAACAGTCGTAACAAAAGAGGTTTTAGAAACATTGCTCAATAACAAGAATCAGTAATATTCAAATATCAACCCAGCAAATTGATTAATGTAACTTGAGAGGCACTTACAGGTTTAGGAGCATGACCCCATGAAGCAGGTTCCATATCTCCAGTATCCCAACCACCAGGTGTCAGAGTCTTGGGTTTTGGTCCTCCCCAAGATGTAGGTGTTAGAGGAGGTTCAGACCAGGAATTCACCCCAGCTGCCCCGATGCCCTTAGGGTCTTCACCCCAACCTGGACCAGCTGCCTCATGTTGGCCCTCTCCCCAGGAGCCATTTCTAAGAAGAAGAGAAAACTGAGTTTCATTTTCTCAAATCACAGGAGTCTGAAGATAGTAACAAAATGAAATAACACCTACCTGCCCGGGTGACCCCACAGCGGGGCACCATCTGGTTTCATATTGCCAGCACCATTCCCAGGAATGCGGTTTTGTGGCATACCTGGAGGGCATTGCATACCTCCACCTCTGCCCATGTTTGGAGTTGGCATATCCTTCCAATGTGAGACTTTTCCTGCATACAACCCAGAATAATGTATTTAATGCAAAAACAAACACAATTTAAACTAAATAATAATAATAATAATAATAATAATAATAATAATGTTTTATTGCAAAACTTGCATTTTGAAAAATGCCTAACATCCAACCACATAAACATTAAATGTAGTATAAAAATTAAACTACACAATGCCATTTGGATTCAGAACTTGTACATAATAATGAAGAAAACTGAATAAGTCATTTCCAGAATATTACCTATTTGACGCCAATGATATTCCCAATTTGACAGAGAGGGGGTATAGCAGAACATAACCAACAATATTCTGATAATAATATTGACAAAGCCCCTTTCAGATTCTTTCTCAGTGGCGATACCGAAAGGCAATGGCGAAAGGAGAACAAGAAGCAATGCTCACCTCCCATCCTGCCCTGCGCGCCCGGATTCCCCCAGAGCGAGGTGCCGTCGTCGTAGTTGGGCGGATTGCGTCGCTGCGTGGGCGGGCTGGGCTCTTCCCAGCCAGTGGGCTTGCCGCCCCCGGCCATCGCGAGCTCCTTGGGCGGCGGGCCGGCCCAGTTGCCGACGGCGGCGGCGGCGGCGGAGAGCGCGCCGGCGCCGCCGGGGCCGCCCAACTTGGCGGCGGCGGCGCGGCGGCGGCTGCGGCGGCGGCGTGCGGCCGGGGGTGCGGCGCGGGTGGGTGTTCGGTGCCCACGCCGTGATGGTGCGGCGGGCCGGCGCCGTGCGTCGCACCGCCCACTATGCCCCACGTCGGCGCCGGGCCCGCGCCCGGTTCAGAGGGCGCGGCCCAACGCCCCGCGGTCGGCGCGGGGGTCGCCGACGGCCGTCCTGGCCCGCACCGGCCGCGCCGCCGCCGCCCCGCCACCGCCCGCGCAATTGCTCCCACGCGGGTCCAGGCCATGGCGGCGCGCGCGCAGCTCGCGGCGGGTCGGCCGCCGCCGCCCCCGCCAAACCGCCCTCCGGCGCCCGCCCGCCGGCGCGAAGCTCGGCGCGGGTTCGAGGCGCGGCGTCGGCGCGCTCGGATCCGAGGGCGGCGGCCGGGTCAGCCCGGGGATCGGCGCGCGGGTGCGCCCAGCTGGACCGCGCCCGGCGCCGCGCCCAATCGCTGTCCTTCTTGGGGGGCCTGCGCAGGCGAACGCCGGCGGCGTGGCATGAGCGGCCCGCCCCGGCGCCGCGGCGCGCGCCTAACGCCACGCCGGGCCTCCGCCGCCCGCACCCGCGCCCTCACCGTCCCCACATGCCTGCCGCGGCGGCGCCCGCCCCGCCGCCCCACTGGCCGCCCGAGGCGCCCGGCGCCGGGCCCGTGCCCGCCGCCGGCACGCCCGTCCACACGTTCGACGTGTCCGCCAAGTCGTCGTCTTCGCCCCACGTGCCACCGATGTTGCTGGTGGGCGTGTGGCCCCACGGCGTCTTCTGAGCGGCGGAGGGCGGCGGCTGCCCGCCGTTGCGCAGGTTTGCTTCCCACAAATCAGTGCCTGTCGAAGGGGAAAAATAGCTCTCAACGGTGATCAAGCATTCCAGTAACGATCCTGCCGAGAATATGTCGCTCCGAAGACAACTGCTACGACCACAAAATATCCGTCAACTAAATTAGCAACCCACTCTGCGCACCTTGCGCAGTCCTTGACGCTATTGAAAGAACTGAGCGTCGAGACGAAATACGAATAGCTTTTAATCATTCTTTTGAATGAATTTAAAGTATTATATTTCAAGAAGGATGAGACATATTTGAAAGTTAACGCGAACTGTTATTTGATTCCAAAATTCTCAAATTTCCTTGAACTAATCTCACAGTTTCCCAAATTAGCAAATGTTCAGAGAAAGGCGAAAAATATAAGACATTCCCATGAAAAACATATATAAAACATGTGGGCTGAGACAGAAAAACTAAGTAATCAAAGAGGCACTTAAAAACTCAGTAGTCAAAGCGTTCATTAAGACGTTCCAAATATGAATAAGTGTAAAACTCGAGACACGAGAAAAAAGAAACAGAATTTATGCTGCTTCGTTCACCCTTCTCCCAATTTCACGAAATTTTCCTTTTTTTTGAAGTCAACCGCTAAAAATGAAATGAAATGTGAAAACCGTCTCTACGGTCGTGACTGTCAGTTGTAGGCATGTCTACGAGCGAACGTCGTTGCTACTGAACGGCAAATGATACTCCAGAAAGAAAGAAAAAATCACTGCAGCAAAAGAAAAGTTTGGAATCACTGGGAGACATTATCCGAACTACTGCATTGGAATCATTCCACAAACGTAGAAAGATATTCCTAGAGCTTCTACGCCTTCGTCCTTGGAAGTTAGGAGAAAGAGAGTCAAATTCTTACCGTTGTTTACATTCGGCTTCCACACGGGCACGCCATCTTTCGGTCCCGGCTCAGGACTGGATGGTATGTCCCAGCCTGTATCCTGGTTGACGTGTTGCTGCGGACAAACGAAAATCATGACAACGCCATACGCTACGCAGGCGTGCGCACAAATATTTTAGACGTCCATGATCGCGAAATCATAACACGCGTGGGAATGGCGTATTGGTATAGATCTACGTTCTTTCCAACCTTTCTTCCCCCTCCAAATACTTTAGTTTTTGCCATTGTATTACACTTAAGGTTCCGCGAAGTACTTCGAATAGATATCTTCACGTGGAAATTTTGCCACATACGCGAATTTACGTAACTTTCTCGGATTCGGTAGTTTTAAACTTTTGGCATAATACAATTTTTCTTGATTCAAATAAATTCTGAAATAAAATTTAACGGTAAGATCAAATGCCGTCGTCTATACACCAAGGCTACAGAATTATACACTGAATGATTTACAATAATCATATATTCCTCATCCAATTCGTAAGCAATCCAGTATGGTATGCCATCTCCAGTGTGTTAGGCGTGCACATGTTTTTGTTAATTGTAAGAAACCCATAAACAAAAACTCCAAAATGTAAGAAATCAATTGAAAAAAAAACTGTGCGATAATAAAAAACAATTAAATCGCCTTTATTAACTTAATAAGCAAGCAATACATCGATTTGCTTGCTAATTTAACGAACAGAAGCAAAAATGTAAAGGTCGTGGTAAACATTTAAAACTGAAACGTCCATCACGCGTTTCGGGATCGTGCAGAACTAACAGTGATGTATATTTGAAACTTATCTGAATAACAACAGCCCGTGATGCATGTATTTTGGGAGATCAATACTTGGTACAGGCAGCTAGCGAACACATGGTCGGGAATTACCAAACGCAAAAAGGTCTCACATAACTGAATCTTGTCCGATAAGATACCTTGATCGCTAATCTTAATCACTAAACGGTTTATAAAACTTCTTGCGTTTCATTCCAATTTGGGACATTGAACGCGCCCGAAACCGAATCGTGCAGGAGGCCGCGCATGTGGGAATGTCCACCTTGAGCAACGCCAGTCTGCAGGAGCCGACATATCAAGTACCCGAGTGGCTCGTCGCATTGTGTCGCCCACCGCCAAGTTCCATCAGCGGCGAGGAAGGGGTATTCCGCCAGGAGCGAGCATTCAACTCACCCCGCCCCAGCCGTCCTGGCTGAAGAGCGCCTCGCGCATGGTGTTGAGCTGCTCCAGCTGTTGCTTGGTGGAGCTACTGGCCGAGGAGGCGGCGGCGCCTCCCGACGACCCCGAAGGGCCCCCGCC